AGAAAAATCTGAATAAGGATTGGGTATGAGAAAATATTAATGAATTACTATCAACTTTCATAGGTGTGATACTGGCTTGTCATGATTTTTTAAAAAGCCTTTATTGTTTAAACAATCTTACTGGAGTATTTGAACAAAATACTAAGATGACTTGGATTTGTTTGAAAATATTACCTGCAAAATTTTTTTTTCATGTGTGTGATTTTCATGTACACATGAAATAAGATTGAGAAACTGGCATTAATAGTTGAAAGTGGACAATTGTCATGTGGGATTTGGTTCATATCAGCTCTGAAGAGCTAACTATCAATGAGTTTGAGAGCAAGTTGTTAGAACTACTGGCAATTTAAAACTATCCACGACAGAGATACATGTGCCACAGAAACCAACAAATACTAGCAATGAAAGCTTTTCTAACAGCATATCATTGAAGCTCAGCAGTAGATATACTGGTATATTATAGTTTGATGCTGACTTATGTGTAAGTTTGAAAACTTCAATGATAGCTTTTTTTGCTAAGTCTATTTTTCCCAAGCTTCTAAGAACTGAAATTTGATTCCATCCTTATTTTCAAGGAATTTCATAGCATATTTCCAGGGAGGCAGGCAGAGAAATTATACCACATCTTAAGCTTCAGGATAAAACTTACATATCATCACCTTTATCTTGTCTTTTAAACAGACTTTCTCTGCCCTAGACTAAGTTTACCACCTTACTTCCTTCTTATCTATTTTGACCCAAGTATATTATACCTGTGCCTGGAAGACGTCCAGGCTTGTTCTGTACAGGTGTAATTTCTCCCCTATCTGAATTTTTAATTAATGCAACCCATGGTTTTCTAATGGAAGTGGTCATTCAATTCATGCTGTACACCAAACATTATATTAGGCTCCTTTCACATGCATTATCTCATTTAAATTTCACAACAATCAGTAAGATAAGCTAAATAACACAATCTTGCCCAATAAAATGAGAATCAGAGTTATTAAATAACTTCTCTACAGTCACAAAGTCCATAGTGGTATGAGAACTTTCCAAAAATAATATCTTCTTGAGAGAGGTCTGGGCACAGCAGGGAGCCCAATACAAAAGTTTTTCATGGAAACCTGTTGAGTGAAGTGACAATGAAGTGACCAAAAGCCCTGTGTAATCCAAATATTTTGCTGTATGTCTTTTTTTTTTCACTTTTTACTACATCTACAGTCCACTTGATCATAATGGCAATTTAGAAACACATAAAAATGGTTATACTCCATTTGCAACTATTACACTCTTCCTTTTCTTAATTAAGAGTCTATTTTTCCTTGGCAGGACCTCCCTTTTGAGATGCTGATGTGTTTATATGTAGGGTAGGATCACATATTAAAGCCTGTAGGGTAAGATCACATATTTAAGCCTGTACTCCTTTCTGTGGGGGACACCTCACTGTAAGGCCATTCTTGCAACACCATGGCTGGTCATGGAAAGCCCACATCTGCTTCAGTCCCATGACAGCTATTCCTTTACCACATCTCACCTGGGCCATTGTAAGTACACACACATGTCCTTGGGAACTTTATGACAATGCTTAAGCAATCTTCACATTTGTGTAGGAGCTAAGAAATAAAAAAAGAAATGAATGCCAAAAAGCATTGGGCATTATTTGTGTACTGGGTCAGGATCCTGGGTGCTAGTATCTGCCTTTGATTTCTCCTGCAGCTCTCTGCCTGCAAAAAGCAAGCAAGACAGGAGTTTAAATAAATAATACCAGCAACTGGGTACAAGAATAGCCAGCTGCTCTACTACATGACTTTCCAATGACATGGAAAACATACAGGTAAACAAAAAATAGTAGGCAACAAAAAGCCTATAAAGATGTCATCAATTAGAAAATCTGGTAAAATTATATGCCTCTTTAGAGCAAATATTGGATGACTATACCTTAAAATGTCATCCTCTATATTTATAGAGTGAAATAACAGAGATTGTTTGTATGGTTCTCTGTGCATTCCAAATTTCTACAGTGAACACTTACAGCTTTTGTATTGGGGGAAAAAGAAATAAAAAAAGAAAGTAGAGAAGAAAGCACATGTTTTACTGAAGAGACTTAGATGCCAATTTTGATTCTACTTCAGGGTGGACCAAAATAGCCCAACAAAGGCAGGTGAAGATGATTTCAGATGATCCAAAGACTAGAAAGGAGGAGACTCAAGTATGTCTGTGTTGCTTCAAAAAGCAAGAGCAAGATGTTAGAAGATAAAGGGAGTTGCATTTGGGGGGAAACCAAAGAAGAGGCAAAAGTCAAGGTGGTCTAGGTGTGAATTTCAGAAGGTTCTCTATCTGTGCTTTGAAAATGTACTGAGAATATAACTCACCTTCCAGTTCCAAGTCTCACTCCAGGAGACAGTGCCTGCCTGTGTTCCAGAGACCAAGCTCACCACTTCTGGGAAGACCAGCAATCAGTATTTTACAGTAACTCAGACATCTTGGGCTCACAGACTTGCCCTGCAATGACTTCTAGGTATTTCCAGGTTTGAGCAAGGTATCCCTGGATATTGGTAAGAATGGGGAGAAAGCCAGGTATCTGCCTCCTTAACCTCCTCTGTTCTATCTGGATGCAGAGAACACAGAAAGAGAACAATCCAACCTCAAACAGTCACCACATTCTACATTTTTAAAGACATCAAAGATTAGTGGGGAAACTGTGATTATTTTATTTAAGATGTTGCAATAGGAATAGGCATCAAGGGAAAATGAACCCTTCACAATCAACTGATAAATGGGAATCACGGGAAAGCTGAGAGGCTGACCACAGGTGGGTGTCTTCCTGAGTACCTTCTGACAGAAAGCGACACTTCTGGAAGGTGTCGCAATAACTCATGGGTTATTGCAGGCATCTGGGGGCATAAGGCTCAGAATCATCTGAAGATCAAGAGAAAAGGGGAAAAATAAAAGCCAGCAATTTGGTGTAGAGGAACTTCCCACAGCATGTGGACAGCTTTTTTTTTTTTTTTTTTTTTCCTATTTGGAAAAGCCTCCGAGGAGTGGTGTTCACATCCAGGACTTTTTGATTTAGGAATGATACTGAATAATTAACTCTACTCTGGGCACCGTGCACTGGCCAGAAGTTTCCTAGGACTTCCCTGGCTTAGGTACAGACATCTTGAGAAATAAAAAATACTGATACTTCTGGCTTGAAAGGGATTACACATGAATGGGAAAATGTGGATGTGGGCAGGGGAACAGAACTAGAGTGGAGGGGCATAGAATGGCCTTTACTGGTCCTGCCTTCAAAGGTAATGAACAAACCTTAAATACATACAACTTTCCTTTTGCTTACTTCTTCATTTTAAATCTAATATCTAACCAAAAATAGAGAAAATATAATTATCTCAGAAAAAAGCCAAACTCGAAACCACACACGCACGCACACACACACACACACACACACACACAATCTTTCCTTTCTCACACTTACATTCACGCACAAAACACTCACATATTCACACATTTTATTCATCTTGTATAAACTGTTTCCCCACTACGTACTTTTCCAGCAAGCAAAACAGTATAACACAAAGCCCTCTCTTTCCCTATTTTAAAATAAATGATCAGATAAAAGAAAATCTGTAGCTGAGATAACACTTTACAAGTACGTGAGAGGGGGTATGGAGGTGAGCAGGGTGTGGGTAAATGCAGATTTTCTTTGGCTTTTGTTTCACATTCCCTTTGTTCCACAAGAAGTTTGTGTTAGTATGTGAAGAGATTCTTTAGTTATCAGTTTTCAGTGACTGGCGAAAAGGCTAACTGGTTGTCTATTTCTAAAACCTCAGTGCATGCCCAGCAGAAGGACCGACAAGCCGTGATGAAAACACTCCACACTGCCACACGAATCTATTTTCCACTCTCACCAAGGGCCCTTGATTCTGTTAATCTTCCTCCTCCAGCCTCTCACTGTCTCCTCCTTGTGCCTGTTCCCACTCTCCCTGTGGCCCAGAGCTAAGTGATGTGAGGACTTTCAGGTTCTCAGCTTCCTTAGAGATGACAGGGTACTCAGAGGAGGTAACCCACAAACACAAGGCTACTGAGGGCACAGTGGGCTCATGAATGTGAAATGTGTTTAAAGAAGAAAACATTCAAAACATCGAGCACTCTTGCCATTACACAATTGCTGCTCCCCACCCCAGAAGTTCATTGCCACTGACTCAGACATGTATCCCTACAAAAGTATAATACTGCGGAATGGTAAGGCAGGACCTGCCTTGGGATGGCAGAAAGTTTCATTTGGAAAGACAACATGGACTAAGCACCATGCCATCACACTTCGATTTGCCTTTCTTTGTATAAATGGTCTATTTACACTGAGATCTATGGGAGAAGCCCAGGATTTCTGTATATCTCATATGTACATATATGCGTCTATGTGTGTGGGGAGAAGGGGACAGTAACTGCCCTTCCAGAGATAGGGAGGACGATTTCCTGTTTTCACTCCTGCCAAGCAGGTCCTCTCAAAGCCCTTACTTGCACCCTTTCTTGGTTTTCCCATGGCATCCTGAAAACAACTCTGTGGCCAGTGATAACAGTGGCCACCTCCTATCCAAGATTAGCACAACAGAAACATCTGCCTCGGTGGGAATCTACAATTCACCTGGCCACCAGGACTGTGTGACTGCAAAGCACTTGCACAAGCAGATCACAGGAAAGTGAGTGTCCTGTCCAAAAAGAGATGGGGAGAACCTTAACCCCACTCACCTCACTGCTTTTCCTAAATTCAACAAGCACCCCATATCCAAGCACTTTGACCTGTATTTTTTTATTATAAAACATTAAGGGAAAACAGAAAGAAGTTGTATTTTCCATGATCAGATGAAAGAGGAGCTGAAGGTAGAGAGCAACTACCAGGTCATTCTAAAGGTCAGTATTTGAAGTCAAAGAAGCTAGAGATCCAAGTTCATTTGCTCAGTCCTGAAGAAGAGAACAGCTGACACTTTTAAACATCATAAACCCATCCAGAAACTCACCTGTGGCTGAAATCCTTTGAGGTCGCTGGCTGCAAGGTCACTGGTTGTGAGGAGCTGGGAAAAAAAAAGAGGCATTTTTCTTAGTGACTTTTCTCAAAATTTGCATACAGCATCCCCAAAACAACCAACCTGCCATGGGCGCCCCAGAGCCTGGAGCAGAGCTCAAGAAGCACAGGCAGAGAAGGATGATGTGATATTTCTGGACCAGGAATCCAGTCTTGCACTGAGTGTGCATAGCCTCTGATTCCCTCTCCCCCACCGCCATCCTAGCTGCCCTCTCCTAGCTCCCATAGGCCATCAGTTCTCCAGTGGGTTTTAAACTAGGGAGCTTGGGCTAAGGCTGGACTTCCAAAGGTACACCAGTTCCCAGAAATTACAATTATGTGTGAATTTATGGGTATGTACGTTTCCTTAGGGAGAGGGTTTCTGGCGTTCTTCCTGCTGGCAAAGCTGTCTATAATACAAGTTAAGAATTACTATTTCAGAGATAGTTGAAGACTCATCTCAAGGAGAGCTTTTTTCTTTCTTTTTTAAGATCAGACTAGTGAAAGTGATCTTTTTCTCTTCCTACCCACATGATTCAGTTTCCCTTGCATGTTGCCTGTGACTTTTTGTGCTATTTAGGTTTTCATAACTTACACATCAAACGATTATAGTCATATAGAATCTTAGGCTAGGTTGAGAATAAGATTTATATATTTTTGCGCCTCCATGTAACCAATGTGAAAGTATAAAGTTCTAGATTTTTAAAATATTTTTGCACTCTCTTCAGGACTTTGAACTAGAAAACACTCAGTAAAAGCAAATAGTTAACTAATGAAATTAATAATTATATTCTTTATTTTTGCTTTCAAATGCTGAGAAAGTGGGGTATGAGGAGAAAAGGGGAAGATATTTATTTTGATTCAAGGAATGTGACAGCTAGCTTTGTGAAAAACACAAAAGACTTCATGTTTGCTGTAACAATATTTTGTTTGGTTCAAGAAAAAGAAGGAGTCATGCGGGGCTTCAGTACCTCTAGCCTCTGGAAAATCTCCACATGACTTTTCAGCTTCCCTCAATGACTGTCAAAAATGCTGCCTAAGTGGTGTCGGACTGGGATAGAGATTTCTCCCCTCATGTACCCATGCCTGTGAGATGGATTCTCCATCCTGGTAAAGAGCCATCTCAGCCCCTCTGGTTTTAATGAAACAACCAAGCAGCAGCTCACAAGAGTACTTGCCTAGTCTCTTCCTCAAGGAACTTACACTTTGGTCAAAGATCAGATATGTATCCATTAGATAAAGTGGTTTGTGGCAGAGTATGTGTGCCAAAGTTTAAAGATAAAGTGTGAGAAGTCAGGTGGGATTGTTGAAATAACATGGAACAGGAACTAGTCCTAAAAACGTAATAGTGGCTAATGAGGTACTTCACACAATACCAGCTGAATGAACAAAGGCAGAGAAAGAGAGAGACAGAGATAGAGACACAAACAGAGACAGAGACCCTTTCTTACCCCAACATGTCTCCCTCTACATCCCATCCAATGCCAGATATAGTCTCCTTCAGGACAAGGGCAGAGGATAATGATAAACACAGGATTGCCTGGGTCCCTAGCACACTGGTTTATTGGCTTTATACTACACAACTCCACCATGAGATGGACAGTATCTCCACTTTATAAATGAGAAAACTGAGACTTACAGAAATGAAGTCATATAGTTTAGGTCTCACTAGTGAGATTTAAATCACAAGTGGTATTTTCTCAAAGCTGAGGCTTTTTATTCAATAATAAGATGCCCCTGAATTAAGGAACATTGGAGATGAGCTATAGAAGAGATGTGGCCCAGGAACGAGGCTGAGTGCCAGGAGAGTAGTCAAAGCAGCCACAGGCAGTAACTGATGCTTGTGTCCTGATGGATGACCCTTAAGTAATCTTCCTCTTAGACACTCTTATTTATTTGGTAATGACCATCAACCCTTCTGAATTTATTGATACAACCTAAGCTGTTAATTTGAGCTGGGCACAGAGGGAAGAGAGACAGAAAGTCTCCATAGGGTGAGGTATCGAATAGGCATGACCCTTGCAGGGATGGAGTCAGCTACAAGGGATCATACCTAGGAATCAAAGGTCAAAGGCTCCAAGCTCTGTGAGGACAGCAAGGAGAGAGCCTTCTACCACCTGTAACAGGGCTCACCAAGGATGCAGGAGTCACTAGACCAGAGCATCTAATTCCTCCTACTCCTGAGATCCAACCACTGAAAATAAACCACAGATGTGTTCAATGTTCTCTAAATATGCACTCTGTCCACATGTCAGTAGGGTTTGGATTGAGAAATGGACAGGTCTTTTGTTTAATTGGAAATAGACATACAGCATCTTTGGTTATGATTCCTTGCATTTCTAGCTCAACAAAGTTATGATTATCCCTCTCTTCTTGGACACCCTCAATTCTCTTTTTTCTTCTCTCAAGGAGTCAGCTACATGCAGTTCAGTCCCTAATTCTTTACACGTCTGTTTTGTGCTGTTGCATGCATTTTGTCTTCGCTTTTTTTCACCTAGCAAGTCAAACAAGACCAAGCAGACCAAGTCTAACAAGACATCTTATGTAAATTATTCATTTCCCTTTGTGTTAAGAAGAGTCTGGACACACAATTAGTCACTAAATAACTTGTTGGTCAAATGACATAAAAGGAAAGTGGAGAATATTGTCAACCTTGAGGTGAGGACAAGAATGACTAAATTGCTGAGTGTGGAAAGCAGAAGTGTGAGAGGCAGCTTAAGACATCCTTCAAGCAGACAAAAGGAAATGGCACTCAGCACCTAGCACTTTCCCTGAGTGAAGAGGCACTCCAGTTTCTGAATGAATTAATCAACTCCCTTGATGACAACAAGCTCTTCTCTATATGCTACCAACTTGTGGAGAGAATATTGGTTTATACTTCAGTATGGGAGTCAGAGATTAAAGCTCAGGAAGAACAGTAAGAAAGTGAAAGAGGCTGAAGAATTTAAGAATCTACTGCTAGGCAGAGAGGGTGCTGTCTCTTGCCTGCAAGGTCCGTGGGTTCATCCCAATCCCAGATGTGTTAACTCATCTGCTACTGTGTGAAAGGATTCAGGACTTGGTGTCAGGGGTGATAAGGAAATAACTTCTAAAACTTCTGAATCATTTTACCTAATTTTTTGTGAAGGGGAATCAAACCTAGGGCCTTGTTCAAGCAACTGTTCTACCACTGAGCTTACAAATGGAGACCTTGAATATTTTATTCAAAATCTAGTATGCATTGAAGGTGTTATCTGACCTGGAAACAGTGAAAGGCAAACCTTGCAATCTCTGAGTCCTGAAAGGACAGTTTAAAAAAGCCTGCCTTTCCTCACCATCAAGCCATGGTCCCTAGGTTCTAACCACATCCTAACCAAATGAAGGAGTTCTTGAACAAAGCACAGGCCCTGTCCATTAACACTCCCCAAAATATATGATTTTCTAAAAATTTACACATCCTGTACCCAGGAAATATGGAAGAGCTCCGAAGTATGCTGCTGGATGTATTTCTCCTTTAGAAAGATAGGACAAGAAAATCTTCCTATATTTAAAAATTATAGACCACCTAAAGAAGACCTCTCAAAAGAGTTCTAGTCTACAGTTTCAGGTCCTGACCAAGGCACCTAAAGATCCCTGGGAGAAATGAGGATATCATTGTGTCCCTAGTGGGCTCAGGGGTAAGAGAATGTATTAAAAAACAATCAAACAAGGTTGCCCTCAGTTCTTCTTCTTTCTTCAATCTAACCAGTGTCTCTGTTTCTCCCTGTTCTGTGAATTTGAAAACAAGTATTTTACTACTAAAGAAAATCCTTAAAATTATTCCTCTGCATAAGAAGCCTTGAGGTTTTCATGATCACACTGCTAATTCACAGGAGGACTCAGTGGGTTTCTAAAAATCCAGCCTCTCTGCTGAAGCCTCCATTAGTAACCATCTCTGCCCAGTCCAACTCCAAGTGGGAAGGCAAAGCTGGGAAATTCAGTGGAAATCAAAGCAGGTAAGAAAAGTCAAGCCTGTTCCTCCTCAAAGTCATCATCTTCAGAATTAGTTCCAGATCCTTCCCTCCTGTCTCCTTCCACTGGACCCTAGGCATATTCTGTCTCACGGGGCAACAGTTCACTGCCCATAGCAGCCTGGATGTGTGGGGAGGGATCTGAGACAGACAGGCAGAGTGAGGGAGGAAAATGAAATCCTCTATGGCTCTGGGGACTTCAGTCAAGCTGAAGTTAATGAAAAGGATCCTGCCTTTTCCCAGGATGGCTAAATGTCTGCACGAGCTACAGGGCTGAGAGGGTGTGGGGGAGAAGGAAAGACAGAATTATATTTGAAAGGCAAAGGAAGGAATAAAAAAGTCTTTCTTCTCCCTGGTTGAGCAGGGCAGTGTTCATGGAGTCTCCTGCTTTGACCAATCTCATTCCTGACACGTCTTGCTGCTCTCTGGAACAGTCGACGTTCAGATATTAAGAGGATGACCCTGCCTTCCATTTTTGAAGAGCTGCAGTTTCTCTGTTGGCATAAATTCAAGGCTTTTGGGTCTCTCTAAACTCAAAGGGCAGGCTGGAGGAAGGCAAGGGAGTTGTGATGACTTCAGGCACATAAGGACAAATCCCTTTATCTTCCCCAAGCAAGACATTCTGCTTACTTCTCTTACTCTGCGAATGGAAGTCTCTCTTGACTTCCTTCAATGAAAAGAGCCCACAATACAATGGCAGCCAGCAATCCCTGGTGATCATCTTGGGTCTGAGGCTGCCTTTCCTGCAGCAAACTCCACTGTTCTAAACTTTCCCCACGGGAGGAGTGCGATGATGCCACTCTGCTCCCTTTCTTTGTGCCATAGGAAAATCATCTCCCCTGCTGGGCCACAATAATAAAATGCACCTCACCTGGACAGAGTGGTCCCAACATATCCCCACCTATCTATCAGGCTGACCCTGTGCACTTGTTACTAGCAAGGGGTTACTGACATGAAAGGGGGCGAGGATGTGTGTTATGCTGTGTAACTCACCAGAAGGGCTTCAGGCTCACAGCTGTGC